GGACAACGTTATGCGAAACCGCCGACGCGCGATTCATGACATTATATGAAAATTGCGGGACAGCATGCGGGCTGACGTTTCGCCCCCCCGCCGTTCCCCGAGGAATTGGAAGAATTTCACGAAGCTTTTTCTCCCGCTGTTCTCTTCCTGCTGCAATTGCACGATACATCACGATACATCCGTTATCCGGCGCTTCTCGCGTGCTCTGTTTGATTAATTCAAATTCCGCTTTGACAATGTTGCGTGTTTATGTAACACGGACAAGAACGTGAGCGGCGTGTGTGCGAGACGCAAAACGAATAAAACCACGTGTACAACCAAGAAAGAAAGAGAGAAAGAGTTATAGAAAAAAATGAGAGTTATAAAAAATATGTAAGTAAATTACTTTTACATTAAAAAAAAAAGAGATCTTGATGATCGATTCGCGATGGCAGCATGTGCGCGAATGGTTTATATTCACGATCGACGTGTTCGATCGGCTAGTCATTGCCGATTTGCACGTTACATTTAATTTACATTTTATAAAGTGTTTGCTACGGTGACATTAAATTGTTTTTTTAAGTTTGACGTTTCGTGATACGTAATAAATTTCAAAATCAGTTCGATCGAAGAGAATGTCACGATCGACAATCGATGTTCGACTGCGCGCGTTGCGTTGGATCAACGAAAGATGGAGCCCGCGGTATTGCGAGCGTCTTTTACACGAGCGTGTAGAAACGGCGATCGGCGATTTTGTGGCCCCGGGCAGAGAAAGCTCTTCGCCTCGAAGGCTTTGCCGGCGTTTAGCTGTTGCTTTTGCCACGGACACGCCGTTGCCTCGTCTTCTTTCCTTTCACCGCCGTGGCATATGCCACGTCAGGGCCGCAACATTTCGTTCCGAAGGAGCCTCGAGCAATCGCTTTTTCGCAACACCGGTGATAAGAAATCAAAAATTCTTTTCAGAAATCGTCGGGGCGTTTCAAGTATTTTTTTTTTTTTTTTCAATGTTTTTGTTCAAATGTAGAAAATTTTTATCATATTTATACATCGTTGCGCCTTTATTGAAAAGAAAGAGAGAGAGAGAGAATATTACTTATTATAATTTCCGCGTTACACAATTCTCTCTTTTTTCCATAATTAAAAGATTAATCTCCCTAATTACTAAATAAATAAAACAGCGAGTCGACGGTCCCGAAGATCAGAGATGTAGTATCGTCGCAGTGAAAAAAAAAAAAACGGGAAAGCTCATGCATTTTAAACTCATTTTACTTGGAGAATTATAAATTATATACACACACGTCCACCGTTGCGCGATATTCCAGTGATTTCCTCACTAAAGTGATTACTACTCTCAGTTACCATTGACATTTCGTTCCACTCTTTTTTTTTTTTTTTCACACCCGTTTGTTAAGCTCAACCGGTCGCGTCGACCATCAACACGCGCACACATTGCTTTGCGGCAAATTAATTTGCCGAAGTTGTCATCGCTCTCGACGATCGCTGCAGATCTCAGGATTTTTTTCGCTTTCCTCGAAGGCGCTACCGAGACACAAGACGGCCTTAATGATTATCGATTAACGAGATCTCTCGCGAGATAAACGAATCGACGAGCCGCGCGCTTTCTAAGGCGCGAAGCGCTCGCCTCGAGATGCATCGCAATCACGTTCCGTTCGACGATCGCAATTACATGAATCATCGCCGCACTTAGAGCGAGTAAGAGAGACGACGCTCTCTGTGCACGACGAGACCCGGCAGAGAACGTAACTTGCCATTCGATGCTGAGGGAAGATAGGGAGAGCGCATTCTCGCCGCGTGTACTTCCTGCTCTCGCGCGATCGATCAATCGAAGTTCCCGATCGAGGATCGAGGAAATTCCGTTAAAACGTTTTCTCGTATAGGAGGATGCGTTTTCTCACGGCGGATTTGACACGAAACGATCGATACAATCGGCCGTCAATCGGCGCGTAATGAATAGGCGTATCGCGCATATACGAGCGACGATATAAAGAGCCGTTCGTTAAAGCCGCGCAATTGGACTCGGTAATGACAGCGTGTTACGATACTTTCGCGCTTTGCGGACCGAGCTAAGTGGCATTTTGCGCGATCGTCGGTTTTATATCCAAGCTCAAAGGGCAAATTCCTGACGAGACCCATCGGCGTGAATCCGCCGATGGATCTCATGCGGCGGATGCTGCGCGTTGCGATCGTTTTGTTGCGAGATCCATCCACACACGAGTCGCGAAGAAGAAGCGCGACGCAGACACGGTTAATAATAAAACTTCCATTAATTTTCACGCGCCAACTTTACCAGTGTGCTGTTACACGGTAGTCGTGTGCGTCAGGTCGACGCGCACTTTCTAGCGGTTTCGAGTTCACTGTTCAGTGAACATTGTGTCCGCGGTGTTGCACCATACGGAGAGGCGTGCGATATCCGATTATCCCGCCGGAAAATGCGAAATGCCGCAAGATACGAGAACCGCTTTTATTTTCCTTTTTCTCTTTCTTTTCCTCTTCGAGAGCGAGCGAATAACGTTGTTCGTAAAAATCGCGACCGAGGTGTGATCAGTCCGGCGTGAGATTCGATCAAAATAAACTTCAACAAATAAGATAATGTGAAAATAACACTGTCGCGTAACCTCTCTCTTTTTCTATCTCTTTCTCTTTGTAAAATAAGACAGAATCATCTGAAAAACCTATTTGATACAGCACGTGTTTGCGATCACGTCGATTGTCAGGCGGGAGACGCGCGCGCTAGCACAATCACGACGATCGCCACCGTGGAATTTACGATCGGCAAATGGCACATTCCTGCACGTGCGCGGGTCCACAATACGATCTCCTCCTTGCTCGTCGATTCGCAACGAAAAATCAACGGGAGATTCGCGAGCAGCCTGGCATTTACCGGTGGTGCAACAAGCTCGTGCGGGGAGACTGTTTGCGAAGACTGTCCGCGACGGGCCGCGTCCAAAATGCCAGGCGAGCCCTTCCTTGCCCATCCCGTTCTGCGTGACATTTGAAAAAAAAAAAAAAAAAAAAAGAAGTTCGGATCTCATATCTATTCTTCCAACGCCCGCGGGAGATTTTGGCGCCGCGATTGCGTCGCGACGCGTCGTCAGCTTCTCTCGCTCGGCGCTTCTCGATTGTGACACGACGTTGTGGTATCTCGGTCTGTCATTAAAAGCAGCTTCGGTCGCGAAACGACCGATACCGCGAACGAGACTGTTTCCACAATCGTTTCACTTTCGAGCGCGTATCGCGCGCGGCCGATTCGCAATCTGCAAACCGCAGATCGACCGCGAGAAGAAGACGAACGCAACTTGGTGATGTTTTAAAACGTAAATTTTATTCGCTTCATTTCTCTCAGCTCAGAGTTATGTAAAAATCTTAGGTCATCGTAGAAAGCTGCCGCGCGATACGCAGGTAGATTTTCGATCGCAATCTCGGTTCCGAGCGATATAAACAAATATTATGTAAAACGCACGCGCTCGATTGTGATAACGCCCCGCGCGAGAGAGACTTTCCATCTAATCGCGCGCCGCGAAACGTGTCATTTTCTTCAATCGCTCTCACGTCTCGCATACGCTCTCCGGGCGACGAGACGTGGTGTTCTTCGTCAAAGTTTTGCTCGAAGCGATCGTAAAACACGATCCGCCGAGAGCGTCTCGCAAATGTTATATTTGCGAGACGCAATCTCGACTTTTGAAATCGAAAGTGCAAAGCTGTTCGCTCGAGTTGCAGAAACGTCTTTTCGTCGCTTGAGACAATGCAGACAATTACGACCGAAGAACTTCAGGATTCATTCTCTCCCATTTCCTTCTCCCTTCAGGAAACACAACCATTGCCGCTTAAAGCTGACGAACTGGAAAATGCTCGCGAAGAGAAGCAAGTACTTCACCGTCAGTGTCTCTTCTCGATCTCGACGCGAAATTTCTCGACATTCTTGAGACGATTAACGCGCGGCGATTTTAACGTTCAATTTTTCTTTGATCTTATTTGAGACAAAAAAACTCTCCGATTTATCGAAGAAGGTTATTCTCCCGACCTTGACACAAACTTACATCACAGCTCTCTGCCTCTCAGACGCTTTCTCGTCAGTCAGCGCGAAACTCATCCCAAATGTCAGCGAGGCTCGCGCTGCGCCTCGTTAGAAAAATCCATAAATTCGTCTTTTTATTCGCGCATTTAGGAGAAGAAAGATTATACGCGATATCTTCATTAACGCGCGACGTCCGTCATCGACAATCAGTTTCGATTCAAACTCCGTATAGATCGCAATCTACGTCCCGCTGACGTGGAGAAATATACAAACGTTTTTTTATCTTTTCCACATCATCATAAATCGCCACGTCCGCGGTGAACTTAATTTATTTATCCACGGCAATAAAGATAAAATCGACGGAATAGAGCTCGTGCCGCAGGCATGGGATTTTTTTTATGAGGTCGCATAAAACACTTAAAGGAGATACATACGGTAGTTGGCGCGAATACACTTCTCTCTCTCTCTCTCTCTCTTTAAGAATTTTCTTCTAGGTCGAGGTCGTGCACGCTCGAACCTACTCCACCGAAAGAATTGCCGTACCCCGTTGCTTTCGTACAGCTCGGCGAATTAGTGAGTTCTCGCGTTTGTCCATCTCTCGCGGACAGACTAATGACTATGGTCATAGATCAAAATATACGTCAAGAATCTCGCGAAAATCGATTCTACATCCATCACACTTCAATTTCTCTCTGTCGCAAAGTTTTTTAACGTCCATGTGACGTTAATGCGAAAATACTCGGAACGTCACACGATGTGCAATCGTTTGCCAAAATCGAGAGTCGCGAAACACGTGATGTCCAGACGGTCTCGACGCTATATCTCGCGTACGGTACATCGAGGTGTCTGGAAAAACCGATGGTTTCGTACGTTCCTGAAGCACGAACAGGCCCACACGGGCCGGAGCAATGCTCAAAGATGCGAAAGGGGGGACCCCGATCGCGCGCACGCCGTCGTGGTGGTGGCAATATAAGGCCCGACAAGTAGCGGGCCACAGCCAGTCCGTGAGTGGGTACCCTACACCTTCAAGGCCCGCGTCCTTGAAGACAAACTCGTCCTCGAGGTTGTGAAGTCGTTCGACCGCGCCGTTACACGCGAAGAGAGATCCACCTTGAAGTTTGGGCGATTTCGCGACCGAGATCTAACCGGGGTCACCCTGACGGGAATCCCACTCCTTCTACCGGAAGTGGCCGAGCGATCGGTATCCCCCACCTTCGCGATCGGTCCCCCTTCCTGATCAGCGTCAGTATCGAACGTCAGTTGAGCGGGAGTGATTGAGGGGTAAAGAGAGTTAGGTGCTCTACACCCTGGCATCAGTTCGTGGCAAGACAACGGAGTCGAAGACGAGGACAACGACGACGAAGACGAGGAGAGGAAGTTACGTTCCCCGTTGAGGACGTCAGGACGAGCATGAGGTCCTCGCTGGTGCTGCTCCTGGCAGCAGGTTTCGTCCTTGCCGGTGAGTAGCAGATTTCTTCGCCGAGTTCACGTCGCGATATTGTCGCGATATATTGTTACATGTGTGCGGGTATCGAATTCCCGTGTGTGGGGGACATGTGAGAGTTCTCCGGGTCGCGATACGCGCGTGGGACGTGATTTTTACGGTAACCCAAGAAAATCGCTCAAGTCGAACCGCACTCTTTTCCGCCAATTAAACTCACTAATTATTTTCCGCGTTCCGCCGCGGTCCTCTGTATAAATTTCGCTCGGCGATTAAAATCGCTCGTTCAGAGTATTGACGTTCAGAATGTTGATAAAAAATGTTTGAATTAAATTCACATATTAATTAGATTGTATAATCGCAAACATTTGAGAGAGACGTTTTTATGGAGACTACGAACAGGTCGTGTGCGGTGTATAACGAGAAATTAAACAAGTCCTCGCCGAAACGACTGCCGATCGAACGGCGAGGATTGATACCAAGCACGAATCTGTAGAAAGGTGTCTCGGATATCATATAAGTGATACATGAGATCGCATAGTAACCGAGCCGTTCAAAATGGCGAAAGTGTCGCTGCAATCTGGCGATTGCAATTTTCCTCTCCGTTTTACTCTTGGAATTTCGTTTCCTTTCTTCGGCGTAAAACGTTGTGAGAGGCGATTTTCTCGCGTGACGAGCGGCGTTCTCGCGGAGACAGGAAGAATAATTTAAACATTAGTTGAGAAGCGATGATCGGGACGACAGGTTGCATAAGAGATTAGAGCGTGAAAGCTTCTCGGTCCGGTCGGTCCCGGATAGGTGACGTCACTGCCGTGCCCCGGGCACTGAAAATGGCACGGGTGGGGGCACAACTTTCCCTGTTTGTCGCTCCTGCCACGAAGTCGTCTCGAGAGCCCTGGGGACCCAACGGGACCGATCGCTTGAGATATCAGACGAAGAAATTCCGGAGAAATGTCATTATCCAAAGAATGTCCCATTTTACGATTAAATTATTAATTTGTATTTTTTATTTTGCGAGGTTTCGTTTAAAAGCTTGTTGTTTCTTTCTTATGTTACTTTTGTGCATCTGTTTTGAAACGTCTCGTTAAAACACATTTCGTTTTTCGAAGCTGTTAATAATTTGCTCCTAATAATTTACGTCTGTAAAAACGTGAAACGTCACGATGGACGAAAATATCGTCGTAATCCTCTTTCGATCAAACGCTTCAGCGGATTTAAGAGGATCGTATATTTCTTATACTCGATATGCTTTTGATAGGCAATTAATTAATTACGGAAAAATGAACGAACGAACATCGCTCTTTCCTTCTTTCAGAGAGCTCGAGCCGAGTTAAACGCCAAGAAGATAAAAAGGAGGAGAGCTTCGAGAACGAGATCTGCAAGGACAAAGATGCGGGCGAGTGGTTTCGACTGGTCGCCGGCGAGGGCGACAACTGTCGCGACGTGATCCAGTGCACGAGTTCCGGTCTGCAGGCGATCCGATGCCCGGCCGGTCTGTACTTCGACATTGACAAGCAGACCTGCGACTGGAAGGATTCCGTCAGCAACTGCAAGCTGAAGAACAAAGAGAGAAAGGCCAAACCCTTGCTTTACACCGAGGAACCTCTTTGTCCAGATGGTTCTCTCGCGTGCGGAGACGGTTCCTGTATCGAGAGAGGTCTCTTCTGCAACGGGGAGAAGGATTGCACAGACGGCTCCGACGAGAACGTTTGCGGTAAGTTGCCGAAGAGTCGCAGCATTTTTTTATTAAAGAATGAAGAAACTTTTTTCTTGTAATTCGGAACGATAATATTTTTTTTTTCAGATATGGACAATGATCCTAACAGAGCTCCGCCTTGCGACCCGACCGTGTGTGTTCTGCCTGACTGCTTCTGTTCGGAAGACGGCACCACGATACCCGGCGACTTTCCGGGCAAGGACGTTCCCCAAATGGTGACGATAACCTTCGACGACGCCATCAACAACAACAACATCGGTCTCTACAAGGAGATCTTCAACGGCAAGCGCAAGAATCCGAACGGTTGCGATATCAAGGCCACATTCTTCGTGTCGCACAAGTACACCAACTACTCCGCGGTCCAGGAGATGCACAGGAAAGGCCACGAGATCGCCGTCCACTCTATCTCGTAAGAATTGACTTCTTTTTTTTAATTATTATTATTATTAACATTGACATTTCTCTCATTTTACATGCCATCTCTCTCGAAAGTCCGCTGGAATTCTAACACCTTTTCCGCGGAATTGTTCATGAGACCTTATCGAGAGCGAGGTCTCAAGACAAAGCAGGTTCATACACGATTTCATAAACCGCAGGCGAGCAGGTTTACAAAACATATACAGGTTCACGCACGAGTACAGGTTCCTGTGATGCGTCATGTCGCTCACGACCATAGTCATAATTGTTAAAATTTGAACTCGGTCACTACATAAGTGTTTACATGAAAACTTTGGGGCAAGGCATAATGACGACGAGCGCTTCTGGTCGGACGCCACCGTCGATGACTGGGCCAAGGAGATGGCCGGCATGAGGATCATCGCCGAGAAGTTCGCCAATCTGACGGACAACAGTGTCGTCGGTGTGAGAGCGCCGTATCTGCGTGTCGGTGGCAACAATCAGTTCACTATGATGGAGGAGCAAGCCTTCCTCTACGACTCCACTATAACCGCGGCCTTGAACAACCCGCCGCTGTGGCCGTACACCATGTACTTCAGAATGCCGCACCGCTGCCACGGAAACCTTCAGCACTGTCCCACCAGGTGAGAGTCGTTGAGAAAGTCTTTAAACAATGGCAACGCGATTGTTCTTAAATGCGGCAAATAACTTACATGTTCGCAGATCGCACGCCGTGTGGGAGATGGTAATGAACGAGCTGGACCGGCGCGAGGATCCCCAGAATGACGAGTATCTGCCCGGGTGTGCCATGGTGGACTCGTGCAGCAACATTCTGACGGGCGACCAGTTCTACAACTTCCTCAATCACAACTTCGACCGCCACTACGAGCAGAATCGAGCGCCCCTGGGTCTCTACTTCCACGCTGCCTGGCTCAAGAACAATCCCGAGTTTCTTGACGCCTTCCTCTACTGGATCGACGAGATCTTGCAGAACCACAACGACGTTTACTTCGTGACGATGACTCAGGTGATTCAGTGGATTCAGAACCCGCGCACCATCACTGAGGTCAAGAACTTCGAGCCCTGGCGGGAGAAGTGCACGGTTGACGGACCGCCGGCGTGCTGGGTTCCCCACACTTGCAAGTTGACCTCCAAGGAGGTGCCCGGCGAGACTCTTAACCTGCAGACCTGCGTACGCTGTCCCAACAATTATCCTTGGGTGAACGATCCGACTGGTGACGGCTTCTTCTAAGCTGCCGGGCGCGAATCTCCTTCTCGTCTAAGTCAAAAATCCTTTCTTCTTCCTTCTCCTCGTTTCCGTCGATCCTTATCTTCCACCAAGAAGTCGGTTGTAGACGCGTAGCGATTTTTTTGCGCTCCAACATGACGCGCCAAACATCGCCGTGCGCGAGTGTCCTCGAGGCCTTCGAGAGCGACAGCAATTACGAAAACGAGGCGCGCGGAAGAAAAGAGACGAAAAATCGTTGTCGGTTGGTTGGACTCCGCGACAGTCACTCTAGTTGCCAATATTTCGCTTTTTCGTTGTTGAGAATGTATCTGTGATGACTAGTTCTGTTCATTTAGGACACTGCGGAGTTTGATGAACTGAGAACGA